GAGCGCGTCTCCGGAAAACTGTCACGCGCACAGCTGTGCGAATTCACAACGCCTCGCGTCCGGGGCGCGCGGACACACCGCAGGACGCGACGGCGCGCCCATGGCCGGCGACCGCGTCATTCCCGCGGTCGCGGCCGCGTACTTCGCGCTCGTGTTCGGACTCACCGGCCCGGTCGTTCGATGGTGCGCCGCGCGCCCCGTCCTTCAGATCTCCCGCGTCGTCGTCGTTTCCCAGATTCCCACCACGACGGTCCGCCCGTCGCGCGCGCGCGACGGAACGTCGTCGTCGCCCGTCGCGTCGCGTCGCCTCCTCCGCGCTGACGCGTCCGCGTCCGCGTCCTCGTTCCTCGCAGGATACTCTTCGGCGTCGGCGTCGTACTCTTCGCGCAGGCGCTGCTGGTGCGATACGTCCTCGTCGCGCCCTCGAGCGATGACGCTGACGCGGCGAACGACGACGACGCGACGCGACGCGCCGAGAAAGCGGAAGGCGACGACGACGACGGCGACGCGCGCGCCCGCGCGCCCGCCTCGCGCGACGAGCACCGCGGCTGGCTCGTCCTCCTCGCCCCCGAGTCCGCGGACGACCTCCCGACGCCGCCGGAGAAGCCGCGGAACGGCGAGAAGACGTTCGCGACGCTGCGGCGAAACGGCGACCTCAGCCTCGCGACGTCGGCGGCGGCGGCGGCGGCGTCGGCGGCGACGACGATCGACCTCGACGGCGCGGAGCTTCGCGTGTTCACCTCCGGGAACGCCAAAAAACGCTGGTTCAAGCGCCACCCGTTCGCGCTGATCCACCCCGAGGGCAGGCCGCTGTACAAGGGCAAGAGCGTGGTGTGGTGTTACGCGTCGTCGGATCCGGCGAAGGAGGCGTGGATCGTCGCGATCGCCGGAGAGTTGAAGCGACGCGGGGGCGCGATGGATCGGAGCGTGTTCGCCGCCGCCGCCGCCGCCGCGGTGGCCGCGAACGGCGGCGAGGGGGGGGAGATGAAGATGAATATGAAGAGCGAAGGCGGGACGGATCCCGCGCAGAGGGCGCTCGTGAAGCATCTCGCGCACAGGGCGACGGTGAGGGAGGCGGCGGGCGCGTCGAGGGCGCGGGACGACGCGAATTTCGTCGCCGCCGCCGCGGCGAGCGCTTCGGAGGGCGAGGAGGGCGCTTCGGACGAGGCGGGCAAGATGAAAGCCGCCGCGAGCGCGCTCGCGATGCGCGAGCTCGCGTGGTCGTCCGGCGGCGCCGCGGGGGCGACGATCAACGCGCTGCTGTCGCGCGTGTTGTTCGACGCGCTACGTGACGCGGAGGAGCTCGAAAAGATTCGCCGCGACTTGGACGCGCTCCTCGCCGACGTCCCGGACCTTCCGAAGTTTGTCTCCCCGCCGCGGATCGAGCGCGTGACGCTGGGGAAGGCCACGCCGCAGATCGTCTCCGCGAGGGTGCCCGCGAACGCGACCGCGGACGACGTCTCCGCGGCGCCGTGGGACGGCGGCGCGCTCGCGAACCGAGGCCCGTGCTCGTGCGTCGAGCTCGACGTCGCGTTCGACGCGTCGAGCGCGAGCGCGAGCGCGAACGCGCGCGGCGACGGCGCGGCGCCGGAGATCACGCTGAAGACGCACGTGGACCTGCGCGCGCTGACTGAGGGGGGAGGAGGCGGCGGCGGCGGCGACGCGTCGTCGTCGGTCGGCGGCGGGGGCGCCGAGTCTGGCGCCGAGTCTGGCGCCGCCGCGGCGACGACGGATTCGTTGACGCCGTTGAAGAATTTCGCCAAGACGGCGGTGAACGCCGTCGCGAAGACGTTGGAAAACACGCCGCTGACGCTCACGGTGCGGCTCTTAAAGTTGAGCGGGACGCTCCGGGTGTGGATCCCGCCGCCGCCGGGCGACCGCGTCTGGTTCGGGTTCGTGGACGAGCCCGTCGTCGAGATGGCGGCGGCGCCCGCCGTCGGGACGTACGGGATTCGATGGAAAGAGCTCGGCGAGACGGTCAGCGGGCTGATCACGAGGAAGTTGCGGAGGGAAATTGTCGACGCGCTGGTGCTTCCGAACGCCGGGAACGTCGTCGCGGAGGCGCTGAGCCCGTGGGACGCCGCCGCGGTCGGCGTCGTCGAGGTGACCGCCGCGGAGCTGATCGAGCTCACGAGGCGCGCGCTGGAAGGCGACGCTTCGCGCGGAGACGAGAGGGGGAAGGAAAAAGAAAAAGAAAAAGAGACGACGACGACGACGACGACGACGCTCGCGAAGACGCAACCCGCGATGGACGAAGTGACGCCGGCCGCGGAGGTGGAGGAAGTCGCGGAGGAGGTCGCCGTGGAAGCGGCGACCGCGTCGTCGTCGTCGCCGCCGCCGCCGCCGCCGCCGCCGCCCGTCGCGTCCACGCCGCCGGCGGAGATCAGATCGAAACCTTCCCCGGCGCCGACGCCGGACTCGTCCCCGACCACCGCCGCGGTCGCGTGGCTGAACAAAGTCCAGAGCAACATGAAGACGGACTTCTCCACGTTCAAGCGCGGCGTCGAGGCTGGCGGCGCGAAAGGCGGGTTCGCCGCGGCCGTGAACATCGCGCAGCAGAGAATCAAAGAGGAGCTTCGCGCGGCGCAAAAGAAGGCGGCGGCTGCGGGGACGTCGAGCGGCAGCCCGCGGAGCCCGAAGGTCTACGGCGAAGGGAAGGAGATCCCGTACGACCCTCTGAGCGTCGGCAGAGGCGGCAAGGCGCACGCGGAGTGAGACGGGACGGACCCGACGTCGTAGCATGCAGAAGTGAGTAAGTCTTTTACAAGAAGCGTATTACGAGCCAGACGACGACGTCGCCTTCTTTTGGTACAGAGATACAGACACCGTTGTTGGTAACAAATCCCCCCCCCCCAAATCATCACGCGCCGCCGCCTTTACCACCTTTGTTCCCCGGCACCGACGACGAGAACATGCGGCCGCGGAACCCGAAATCGTGCAGCGTCGGCCCGGGGCGGGCGGCGGCGAACCCTGTCCGAGTGCCCCCCGTCCCCGCCGGCGCGGATCCGACGACGAGCCCGCCGCGTCCTCCGAACCCCGCGTCCCGCGCGGCGACGTGCGCGTCGATCGCGACGCCGCCGCCGCCGCCGCCGCCGCCGCCCTTCGTTCCGTTTCCCGTTCCCGTTCCCGTTCCTCCCTCGTCCAGCGACGCTCTCCGATGCGCGTTGTACTTGTCGCGCCACGCGTCGTGCGCATCCTCTTCGCCTCCGACGAAGTCCATCTTCGCGAACGAGCGGCTCGACACGAGCGTGGAGTGCGAGTTCGGCGGCTGGACGCCGAAGAGGAGGCTCTTCAGCAGACCGGGCGGCGCGGCGATGGACGCGCCCACCGAGGACGCGTCCGGGAACAGAGCCGGGCCGATCTCGGAGGAGAGGCCCTTCGGCGACGGCGGGCTCTCGTTGTTTTCCGTCGTCATCGTAGTCCGAGTGATGATTTTCTTTCGCGACGCGACCGCGTTTCCCCCCTCCCGACCGTCGCCGAGGGCGTCGCGCGCGCGCGCGTCCACCGAGCGCGCGCGCGTTCGCGCGCGAGGAATCGACGTTCGGTCCGACGTCCCGCGGCAATCGCGCGGCGTCGTGCGAAGTGCGCTCCGAGCGGCGTCGCGATGCCGCGTCAGCAGCGGAGCAGCTTTTTTTTTTATCTGCCGAAAGATCGGATCTCCTGGCTGCATCAGCATCAGGGCGATATTGCACCGGTATCTTGAAAGGGGACGCGATCAAGTGTTGAAACCGAGGGATGGGTGAACGCGCCCCATCCATCCGCGGGCGCGCGAGTGGGCACGGCACGGCGTCACGAGAGAGAGCGGCCCCAGACCACGTCGGCGCGTCCGATGCCCCCGTTCCGCCTCGACGGCAAGCGCGCGCTCGTGACCGGCGGCACGAAAGGCCTGGGCGCGGCGATCGTGCGCTCGCTCGCGACCGCGGGCGCGAAGGTGCACCTGTGCGCGCGCACGCGCGCGGACGTCGACGCCGCGGTGCGCGCGTGGCGCGCGGACGGACTGACGGAGGTGTCGGGAAGCGCGTGCGACGTGACCGATCCGAACGCGCGCGACGCGCTCCTTCGCGACGTGCGCGCGCGCTTCGACGGCGAGCTCGACATCCTCGTGAGCAACGTCGGGTTCAACATCCGGAAGCCCACGACGGAGTTCACGTCCGCGGAGTATCGCGCGCTCATGGACGCGAATCTCGAGGCGTCGTTCGCGCTGTGCCAGATCTTCCATCCTCTCCTGCGCGCGGCGTCCTCCGCGTCCGTCGTCTTCAACAGCAGCGTCGCGTCGCTCGTGAGCATGCAGAGCGGCGCGGTGTACGCGATGACGAAGGGCGCGATGAACATCCTGACGAAGTACCTCGCGTGCGAGTGGGCGAGGGACGGCGTGCGCGTGAACGCGGTCGCGCCGTGGTACATCAACACGCCGCTCGCGCGAGCGGTGTTGAAGGACGAGAGGTATAAAAAGCACGTCGTCGACGCGACGCCTGCGGCGCGGGTGGGCGAGCCGAGGGAAGTGGGCGACGTCGTCGCGTTCTTGTGCATGGACGAGGCGAGCTACGTGACCGGGCAGGTGCTCGCGATCGACGGCGGGTTCAGCGTGAACGGGTGGAAGCCGCCGGCGGCGAAGCTGTGACCGGCGGCGCGGGGCGGGGTCGCCGCCGCCGCGGGAGTGGAACGCCAGACGCCACACGCGACGCGAGCCGGCGAGCCTCGGACGTGCCGACAATCTCGCGGAGACGGCGTGAAACTTTCTCGAGACGGTCCTTCGGAAGCGCGTCTCGAGTCGCGGTCGCGGCGGCGCGGCGGCGCGACCCGCGCGCGCGGCGGGAGCGGACGGCCCGAGTGGCGCGCATCGAGGCCCCCGCCGTGCAGCCGCCGCGAACGGACGCGTCGCGCGATCGGACGGATGCTTCCGGAAGGCGTCCGGACGGTTTCCGGAAGCCGCCGCCGCCGTCGGCGGCGGCGGCGGCGCTGCCGCCGCGCCGCGCGCCGCGTTCGAGCCGCGGGGAGAGCGAGGGGAGGGGTAGACCGTGGGCGCGCGCGGGCGGACGCTCGGAGGGTGACCCCAGCGATCTGCATGTTTTCAGCGTTTCCGCGGAGCCGCGCATAACCGTCGCTGCATAAACATTCTTTCGAAATTCGGTTAACCATTGATATTTTTTCACCCTGGAATCGACCCCTCGCGACCGATCAACGTTGACCCCGGAGTCCGATCGACTTTGACCGCGCTCGCGGGTTCGCGTACTCGCAGCTCTGAGCGCCACACGTCCCACTGACGTGTGCGATCTCGCGCGAATTTTCGTCCCACATGCGGCGGCGTTCGCGCGTCGCGCGCGACGCACTCACCCACCGCGCGACGTCGTGTGCTCCACGCCACGACCGCGTCGGTCTCGCCTTCATGTACACGTCGATGACACCGAACGCGGCCGCGGCGGCGCGCGTCACCGCGCGCGCGCGCGCGTCGCCGACGCCGCCGCGACGAATCGCGACGACGACGACGACGACGACGTCGTCGACGTCGCCCGAAAACGCGAAGACGTCGTTTCGCAGCCGGAGCGTCGGCCGCCGCGCCCGCCTCCCGCCGCCGCGCGCGAGTTGGTCCGACTTCGTCTCCGGCGTCAAGCGCGAGATCGACATCACGTTCAACCCGAGGACGGCCGGCGCGAAGATCGCGGGACGATGCCCGGACACGCAGACGGTCCCGAACGAGGTGGAGCGACAGAAAGAGATCGCGGAGATGGAAGCGATGGAGTCGGATGGGAGCGACGAGAATATCGACGGCTTCTTCGACCTCGCCGCGTTCACGCGACAGCTCGAGGAGCAGGTCAGGTCGCAGAACGACGCCGCGGACGCGGTCGACGTCGCGGAGCAGAAAGTGCACGCGGAGCTCGCCGCGAGGCTCGCGGAGGTGAACGACGGATGGGTCCCCGCCGCCGCGGAGGCGGCGCTCGACGCGACGGCGACCGAGGCGGCGGACGACGACTCTTCCCGGGGGCCCTACGCCTCCCTCGCGAAGAGCGACCGCCAGAGACAGCTCGAGGTGGCGTACTACGGCGCGGACTACGTCGGCGAGGGAGTGCTCACCGGGCGGGAGCTCGCGCTTCTGTGTTACGCGAAGTACGGAAAGTATCACGACATGGCCGTCAAGCACGTGCGAATGGGCGAAGGCATGAAACGCTGGGTGTCCCTCAACTTATACGTCGGGCACCTCGGACAGAGGTCCTACCCCGCGACGGAGGAGGAGTACCTCGCCGGGTTAGACTCGATCGCGTACATGATCACGTCGTGGGGGCAGGCGGACTACGCGCGCGCGTTCTTTCGCGAGCCGCCCATCGCGCGCCGGGGGCTGCCGTCGAGACCCCGCGTGGACACGTGCGTGACGCTCCAGTTTAACCGCTCCCCGACGTGGGACGACGAGATGGGGGACGAGTTCTTCACGTACTGACGGAGGACGCGTCGTGTCTGTCGATGATGCGCCGCACCCCGGGATCGTCTCACGGCCGGCCCGGCGACGGATGACCGCGCGTGAGCGCGCCCCGCGGGTGCGTTATTTATTTATCGCTTCGCTTCGCTTCGCTTCGAGGGGGACGGCGCGCGGGCGGGAGCGAACGACGCGCCCCACTCCCGCCGCCCCTTCATCACTTTTGTAACAACGTCAAACCAAATCGCGCGCGATGCCGCTGCTGCTTAAACTACTAAGGCTACGCTACTCGTATCATCACGTCCGCGTCCGCGGGCGCCGCGACTCGCTCGTCGTTCGACTCCTTCGACTCCTTCGCGCTACGGCGACGACGGCGGCGGCGGCAGCGTCACCGCGCTCGAGAGCCGCGCCCACACCGCCACCTCGGGCGACCCGCTCACCGCGCACGCGACCCTCTCGATCGGGACGGCCCACCCTCGAAACCCTAAACCGGGGGAACCCTTCGTCTCGGAGACGATCTTCCTCAGCGCGCGCGAGACGTTTCCCGGCGCCCACATCACCGACGCGTGCGGCTTCGGGTCGGCGTAAAACGTCGGGTGTCCCTTCGCGCGCAGCGCCGCGTCCACGGCGGCGATGAGACCCGCGAAGCCGCCGCGGCGTTCACGCGTGGGCGCCGCCGACGTCGACGCCTCCTCCAGGCGCAGCGCGAGGAACGTCGTCGTCTCGTCGTCGTTCGTGAAGACGTCGAAATCGGTCGCCGCCACAAAGAACGCGTCGACGTTCGCCGCCGCGAGGCGCGCGCGCAGCGCGGCGACGAGCGGCTTGCGCGCCTCCGCGCGCACGGGGAACACCCTCGAGAGGCTGACGTGAAGCGACGCGGGGAGGACGTCCGCGTCCGCGTCCGCGTCCGCGTCCGCGTCCGCGCGGGGGCGCGTCGCCGGGGCGGCGGGCGCGTCGTCGCCGATCGCGCGCAGGGACGGCATCTTCGCGCGCATCGCGCGCAGCGACGCGCGCAGCGCGTCCGTCGTCGACGCGTCGGAGGGGAACGCGATCGGCGCTCTGACGTGCGTCGCGAAGTTGCCTTCCACGTGCTCGAACGCGCGGACGCGCCCGAAGCGCGTCGTCGCGGCGGCGTCGTCCGCTTCCGCGTCGTCGTCGTCGTCGTCGCTCGCATCGCGCGGACGCTTCTTCGCCGCGTCCGCGCGGTCGTCGCCGCCGCCGTCGTCCTCGCGCGCGTCGTCCTCGCCGCCGCCGCCGCCGCCGCCGCCGTCGTCGCTGCCGTACCCAGCGAGCGCGTCCATCGCGCCCGCCGCGCGTCCGCGTCCGCCCCGCGCGGCGTCGCGTGACGCGAGGAGAGACTCGCTCGGAGCTGACGAAGCGATCGCTCTTCTCGTCGAGTCGCAGTCGGACGTCCGCGTCCCCGCGGCCTCGACGCGCAACATTGCGACCGGCGCGATGGACGGCGCGAACGCGGCCGCGGACGGCGACGCGTACTTCACCGACTGGGCGTCCTCCCGTCTCGCCGCGTTCGACGACCCGAAGAAGCTCGAGGAGGCGCTCATCGCGCAGGGCGTGCCCCCGGACGAGGCCAGACGCCTCGTCGACGTCGCGTCCTCGGATGGTCCCCCTCCGTCCGCGAATAAGTCGGCATCACCATCGGCGTCGGCGCCCGCGCCCGCGAGCGACGCGTCCGAGGAGGAATGGCGCGACCCGACGGTCGCGGCGTGGGAGTGCGCGACGTCGTCCGACGCGACGCCGCCCGCGGACGCGTCGAAGCCCTTGAGCGCCGCGCTGATCGACGCCCTCGACGCCCTCGACTGGGAGCAGGTCCATCGCGCGCTCATTCCGAACGTGTGGAACCGCATCAAGCTCGAGACGTTCACGGAGACGTGGGCGGTCTTCGGGGTGTGGCCGCCGACGGAAGGCGAACGCGAACGCGAACGCGAACGCGAACGCGAACGCGGAGGCGAACGCGGAGGCGAACGCGGAGGCGAACGCGGGGGCTCCGTCGACCGTCGCCGCCGCGTGATGCTCGAGGCGTACGGCACCGGCGGGATGACCTCCGCGCTGAAGCATCTCAGGCGCGTCCCATCTCACGCCGGTCCCCGTACGACCGCGTCGGCGCGGCGCGCGCCGTTCCTTGAGGACTTTGCCCGCGCGCGCATCTCTCCGCGCATCCCTCGCGTTCAATCCCGACACACAAACCGCGATAATACCTTTCAACTCCATCTGACGCCTTTGAATTCCACCCCGACGCACATCGCTTCGTACGGACCCTCGACCCTCAGGAGCGCCGACGTGCAGTACGTCGCGACGCGGGTGGAGGCGCCGGGCGGGGAGGCGCGGTTCGTGGCGAGCGCGTGGCTGGGGCCGGACTCGGAGGCGTTCGAGCGCGCGCCGCCGCGGAAAGAAGAGGAGGGTGAGGAGGAGGAGGCGGCGGCGGCGGAGAGAGCGAGTGGACGCGGCGTATCCGGCGGGGACGCGGCCGCGGACGAGGAGATCGGGTTGGACCTGACCGTCGAGGGGCTGCCGGCTGGGGCGAACCCCGACGCGAGGTGGATCCGCGAGTGGGCCGCGGTGCGGCATTATCTCGGCGGCGCGCACGCGTACACCGCCGTCGACGGGCGAATGTTCTTCGCCGCGCCGGACGGCGGGGACGGCGACGCGGAGTCGACGTCGATTTTGTCGACGTCGAAGTCGGCGCCCCTCGAGTCGAGCGTCGTCGCCGGCGCCGCGGTGCTCAGATCGCTCGGCGAATCGCTCAAGATGGCCCCCGAGTCGCTCGACGTCCACAACACTCGAAAGTCGAGGATGACGCGCGCGACGCACTACGACTTCGTTGCGCCGGGAGACGAGGACAGGACGGACGTCGGCGGCGTCGGCGACGACGTCGACGCCCTCGGCGCCGCGCTCGAGGCGTTTGAACGCGAAAAGGCGAGAGCGCGCGCGGAGGAGGAGGGCGCGCGCCTCAACGCCGGCGGCGGAGGCGTTATCACGTCCACGTCCGACTCCGATTACGACGACGAAGACGACGAGATGGTCGACGAGGTCCAGATGAGCGACGCGGCGATCGGCGCGCACCGCGAAGCCCTGGAGATGCTCCAGGCTGAGGCGCGTTCTATATATACGCCGCACCGGTCCCCACGCGACCGCGTTCGCGCGGTGAATGCCGTTCCTTGAGGACTTTCTCTCCCGGCGTTTCTCTCCGCCCAGGGTCCCTCGGTTTTAATCCCGACACACCTCAACGCCTTTCAACTTCAACTGACGCCTTTGAACTCCACCCCGACGTCGCTTCGTATGGACCCTCGACCCTAAGCTCGCGACGTGTCAGATGGCGGCTAGGAGAGAGGCGTGGAGGGCGGACGTCGACGCCGCGAGGGAAGCGCACGAGGAGGGACGGCGGCGGATGTGCGCGGCGACGGAGGCGCGGCGCGAGGGGGTTAAGGACGCGCTGCAGAAGCGGTTGTCGCAGCGGAAGCTCGCGAAGGAG